AAAATTAGCAATAGTATCAGACATGTAGTTCTCAAAATTACAATCACTGGAGACAAATCTGATGTGATAAACGATGCGATTTTATTAATAGCATGAACAACAGTGAGAACTGCTTCACCCTAAAACTCACTAGGAACTGAAATAGACAATAAAAGGGAACATGTAGTATCAACAATGTGACAGTGTTTTCTTTCACCAGCTCCACATTGTTCAAGAATATAAATCCCACTACAAGAAGAACTATTTTTAGCTAGGGGTTTAACCCCCATACCAATGCAAAAAATTCATCATAAAATATAAATTTTTAAGGGGATATAACCCCTAGCTAATCAGGGCATCGCAAATAAATGGCTAGGGGATAAACCCCTCACAAAATTGGCTAGGGGGTAAGCCCCTCGTAAATTTTAACTCGTAAAATTCAGTCTGGTACACAGCATGCATAGGAGCAGACTAGTGACACAAAGTGACACAGACATATCAAGTAATTTGCTAGGGGATAAATCCCTAGCTAAAGCAAAAGTATTTTATATTTAGTGAGGAGTAAAGTCCCTAGCTAAATGTGTTAGACATTTGCGAGGGGTAAAATCCCTAACAAATTGATTTACATTTTGGACTTTGTGAGGGGTTTAACCCCTAACTAATGTTTATAATATTATAATAAAAAAATTATATACTTATACTTATACGATTTAGTTCATATTTTCTATAATTATATATTATAAATCATATATTATATGATTTAATTCATACTTTCTAAATAAAAAGCGAATATTATTATATAATCTATTTTTTATAAAAATATATAATATGTTTCTTAAACTAATTTTATAAATATTTTTTTTATAAAAATATTTAATATATATTACTAAACAATATGTTTCTTAATTTGTTTTCTAAACAATATGTTTCTTAATTTGTTTTCTAAACAATATTGTCTATAAATATATTACTAAAATACATAAACAATATTTTTTTTTATATTTATACACTAAATAAGTAATATAAACATCATATAAATATATATATTTATAAACAACACATATAAACAACATATACATATATTTATAAACAATACATATAAACAATATATACATATTTATATACTAAATAATATAAACAACAAAAATATATCTATAATGTTTTTTTTCAATTTTATTCTAACAAATATTTTACAAATATTATAATATAAATCCTAAAATTTAAGATATTTAACACCTTCCTATGAATATATTTATACATGCAACACATAAAATAAAAAAAATAATTAGTAAATAGAAATTATAAATTCAAAAAATTATAGTAAAACAATAATATTTACCTAATTTTAGATTGGTAAAATATTTGAAAGAAGAAGAAAGGGGATGTTTGATGGAAGTTGTTTTTACTGAAAAATAAGAAAAGAAGAAGGTGGCTGATGAGAAGAAAAATGAGAGAGAGCGCAGAAAAATGAGAGAAAGAATAATGTGTCTCGGAAAGAAGAAGAAACTTGCATTTATGGTATGCAACTGACGAGGGGCTGCCCCTAGCTAAATGAACGGATATAATTGGTGAGGGATGCCCCTAGTAAATGTTGACGTGTTGCATGCACCTTCCTGTCACATAACAGACTTTAATAGCTAGAATAAATGCTCTTTATGACAGATTTGATTTAACCATAACTTTTGGTGAGGGATTGCCCCTAGCTAAATGAACGTATATAATTGGTGAGGGGTTATCCCTTTGCAAATGACAACATTGGTCAGCACATTTTGACACATTTCTTTTTTGCGAGAGGTGATCCCTAACAATTTCCAATTTCAAAATTCAAAAAAAAATTCTCCCATATTTGCAAGGGGTTACCCCTCGTGTTTGATTTATATAATTTTTTAAAAATATTTTGTGCATTGCGAGGGGTTTAACCCCAAACAATGTTTTTTTTTTAACTGCTAAATTAACATTAAAACCAAAGGCATAAGGAATGCCCATAATACAAAACCAAAAAATCCTGCTAAGACAAAACACAGAAGAAAAAAACAAAAGCAACAGCAAAAGACTAAAAACCAGAATAACTGCACAGCCTCCTACAATATAAACCGTCCAAAATCAAAACACCAAATGACACAGGAGACCAGCAAAAAATGTCCCAGCTGCTTTAAAAAAACAAAACTAAATAAACTAGCCAAACTAAACTGGCAGCCAAAACTACAAAACTGACATAAGGACAAAAAGATCCACAACTCCTAGAATCGAAAAAACTGCACCAATGCCTGCTAAAAACAGAAACACTGGAGAAGACAAAACCAACGCGGAACAACAACAAGAGGCTAAGGAACAAACGAAGCGCCAACGCGAGACGAACCAAAACCTGAGAAAATATGAGATAAGATCTAACCAACCAGCACCTGCAACCGCTATTGGAGATGAAGCTCAGACTGACTGAACCTATCCAAACTGAAGCATACTCTCGCGGTACCCAAGCAGGCCATTGGATTAAGCCACCACGCAAGAAATTCGTCTGAAATGCTTTTTGCCTTGAATTTTAACCATCTCGATGATTGCATAATTGTTTTCTCTACGACCTTTGAGATCTGAATGTCTTTATTGCGAAATACTTTATGGTTCCTCGCCTTTCAAATGCACCAAATACAAGCGCACCACAGGACCTGGAGCTTCATCGACATCTCGTTTTCACCGATGAACAGGTTTTCAAAATGACGCAAGTGTTGCCGCCCATCTTTGTGTAATGTTGTTGACACACCTAATCATCTACAGATGGAGTTCCAAGTACCTGCAAAAAGATGACACTAAAAAAAACAGAGATATTGATTCATCATTCCCGCATTCTCCGACACACCTATTCTGCTCCTGCAAATGAGTTCCTCTCTTAAGTAAATTATCATTCATTGCCAATTTGTTTTGAAGTAGTCTCCATACCAAGCAAGACACCTTTGGTGGGATCGCTTTGTTCCAAATCTTCACCCAAGGATCTCGCACCGTACTAAAATCAACGGGCAGAATGCTCTTATAAACTTCCCTCAAAGAATAATTGTTTGATCTTCCAACCCTTCTAAATCCAGATTACACACGTCTTTCCACCAACCAGAACTCCCTATTGCTTATGAACATAAATTCTCCACGTTCCGACCATACCTATTCACCAAAGCCAAAAACCAAATGCCCCTTTTATCCATGGTTATTCTCCATCTCCATTTTTCCAATAAAACTACATTAAACGCACCTAATTTCTTAATACCCAACTCCCCGGCCTCAATTGGCCTACCAACCCGATCCCACTTAATCCAATTTATTTTCCTTCCCAACTCGCCTCTCCTCCAAAAAAATTGTTTAAAAATAAATTCAAATTTAAATATAATACCTGTCAGAACCTTGAGAAAAGAGAGATAGTAGACCGGAATAGATAATAGAAAAAAAACTAAACTACTCTTACTATAATATATCATGTTATATAATATAATAATAATAATAATAATAATAATAATAATAATAATAATAATAATAATAATATCTAATCATATGTTTCTATTTAAAAAATTGGGAAAAGATATTTTTACATCAACTTTGCACACTACACCGTAAGAACATACCTATAATATACTAATTTCATTATTTTAATAATTTATTCAACTTTGATTTCCGTGCAAAATATTTTGTTGTGTTAATTTATACGGTGTAGAATACTGGTGTATAAAAATCAGTGTCAACATAGCAAAGCTGTAAAAAATTTCACCAAACTACCTCGTATTTCAATATTTTAATTATATTTTATTTGTATACGTGGATTTCAACAAAATCTCTATTATTTCAAAATAGTGCATTTATAAAATCTGCACGTAAGAATCAATTTCCACAAAAACTAAAATGTAATTAAATTTTTTTCTAAAGTTGTGCAATTAACACTTCAAATGACCCTATGTTACATTTGGCATGTCGTTGATAACAAAAAAAAAAAAGTTTAAAAGAGTGATAGTTTGATATATAATTTAAAAAATGTAATAATTTAATATATTATTTGAAAAAAAAGGTGATATATTGGTGCAAAATTCTTCTATTTATAAAAAGTTAGCACTAGGAGAAGATAGTTACATCTTATAACTTCTCTGACTAACTATTTAACCACATAACTAACTTTGTTTACAAACTTTCTAAAATACTCTAATACAACAATATTATATATTTTCTTTGATGAACTTAACTTTAGATTTAATAAGTCACACCATTATTAAAGATCAGAAAAAGATATCAGTTTCCTTGATGACTTGCCTAAAATTTACTTATAATCTATGAAAACCGTTTGTGTCAACCATAATTAACCGTTTGTGCTAACCATAATTGACAACGATATATTAATAATATCTTCAATATCTACAAATCATGCATAATATACTTCACTTTTTGGAGCCAACAAGTATTCATTCTCTTATTCAGTCTATCACGTGAGTGGGGTGGGGCTTTTACCATATGTTATAACTTTGTTCCTACTTCCTACCAATTTCTTTTGGTGGGTCTCTTGTTTGAAGGACGTACTCCACCATAATGTCCTATTTATATAATACAGATATTTCTATCTTACCATCAAACTATACTCGCCACTCAATTCAATGCCTAAATAAAATTGCTTCCTATTTCGGTGACAAATATTGGATTTTAGATGAAAAACATTAATAGGAAATTAAAACTATCTAAGTTTTAAAATTATTAAATAACAGCAGATTTAACAAGAAATTACAGCTATAATTATGATAATTAAACATTAAAGAAATTTGTTACAATAATTCAAAGCTTCAAAGGACTGAACAATGAACATTCATTACTTGTACTAATGTACTCTATTACAGCGCAAATATGAAAATCAACAAACAAAGAAAATTAATAGAGAAAAGAAATTAGTTAAACTTAATACAATAGTTATTTCTCGCTGATACAAAATTTGCAGACTAAGAAGCCAACAAAACAACGAGAATCCTACTAATTATAGTTAATTATATAACTAATCCATATAATTAAAGAGCAACAAGAGCATCAGAAGCAAATAAATCATCAATATCTTGGAAAAAATCTTCATCCTTATGCATATGCAAGCTTTCAAATCCGAAATCCAAATCCAAATTGAAATACTCCGAACAATCAATATCTCCGTAGAACATGTTCTCCGATAAGCTGTTGAAGCTGTTAAACTCGTCGTTCGCCGGTGAAGAACCTTGGAAATCAAATAGTATATCACTTGGAATTGAAAAGAGTGATTCGGATTCTTTATCGGCTGTAACGGATTCAGCTACTTCTTCGGAAGATGAACAACACTGTAGAACTGAAGTAGGAGAAAACAAACTCTTAGTGCTTTGAGTTTGTGATTGAGATTGAGATTGATATTCATTACCGGAGATGTAACCGTCGCTCACCGGTAACGGTAACGGTAACTGAGGAGGATTTTCAATTTCGGGAGATACTTCTTGACACGTGGCAGGTGGAGTTATAAAATTAGTTAGCGCGTCGGGACCACGCAGCTTAATAGCCGCGTTGTCGTACACAATAGCCGCTTCTTCAGCAGTTTGAAACGTGCCAAGCCACACGCGCACGCCACGCGACGGGTCTCTTATCTCTGCCGCCCATTTTCCCCATGGCCTCTGTCTAACTCCTCTGTATTTCTGCCCGGAGGTGACTTGCCGAGTCGCCGGAGCTCTTGTTTTTCCACCGGTGGAAGTTCTGTTTCTCTTCCTCGGAACAACTCCACCGCCGCTGATGTTACCACGGCCACCGCATGGCTCTATGATAATCTCGTTAACAAACTTTTTAATTCGGTTGCGTTTTGAAGGTTCTTCTTCGTCGCTGGAGGAGTCAGTAGCGTCTTTGTCTGTGTATGTTATTGTGACTATTTTTGGAAATGGTTGGTTCGGAGTGTTTTCTTTGGTAAGGTTGATGCGGTGAGTGTTTTTCTTTGTTGGTGACAGAGTCATGTTGAAGAATGAGGATGAAGGTATGTTAAGGTTTTGATTTGGTGTATCAGTTTTTTGGGGTTATTAGCATTTGAAGTGATGAAAAGTGGAGAGGGAAAAAGGGACGAAAAGAGAGAGAAATTCGTTTGGGGGAAGGAATTAGGAAGAGAATAAAGAGAAAGTGGAAAGCAAAGGGAGAGAGATAGACACGTCTTAATAAATACTAGAAATAGAGAGACAAAACAAAAAATAAAAAACAAAAACTAGTAGATGAAATTTGAAAAGGAAGAACAAATTTGAAGGAAAGTGTGAAGTAAAAAAAAGGAAAGAAAAGAAAACAAAGAGAAGAGAGAAAAAATGCAGTGGAAGGAATGAGGGAGCGCACAAGTTGAGTGACAGAAGGTACGGAAAAGTGAGGGGTGTGTGAACTGTGGGGGCAGAAAAAAAGGTTGAAAATCTCAAGGAAAGTTCATAGGGAAGAAAATTTGAAAATATACAGTAAGAAAACAGTGTTTGTGTTTTTATCCGAAAATGAAAAAAACCATGAACTTGTGATATTATGCAATGGTGTGGTGTGGGGGCTCCGGGTCGCTGTATTCGTACAAGTTTTGGCTTGAATGGTTGTGAAATGGTAAGATAACGGCAATATTACTGATGGTTTCAGGAAAATCAGAGTGTGTTTTGATGTACTAACGGGTAAAAATGAAAGGGGTGAAAATGGAATAAGCGCTGAAAAGAAAATTTTGCACAAAGATGATTGAGAAATATCCAAGTGAGTCTGGCTGGAATGAGATGAACAAGTACGGTTGTATTTTTATACATGGAAGAGACATATTCTGACCATTCAATGAATACGGTTAATAAATTATTTTTGTTAAATAAATTACTATGAGAGATTCGAGAAACGATTTTTTTTTATGGAGGTTATTCATTATTTATATTCATGCATTAAATTTAATTTAATAGTATTGAAAATAAAATTAAGTCTCATATTAGTACTATAAAGATAATGTTTGAAATGATAATTAACTCATTTTGTAATGATGAGTTTGTTCAATACACGAAAAAATTTCATACATTCTCCGGTAATTAGTAGTATAAAGATAAGGTTTGAAATGATTATAAACTCATATATGGAAATTTTAATGTGTTATACAAAAATGATATATAAAATTCATCACGCCGTGATGAATGTTAAGAATAACAAATGTGAGTATTGTGGGTAGTAGTTCTACATTGAATATGAATATGGTGATTTGAATATTTATAATGAGAGAAATCACTCACCTATTATCTTAAGATTTTGGTGAATATGCGGTGTGTTTCTCACAAAGGTGTTGCTCTAGAAAAAGAACTTCCACAATGTTTAATGCTTCCTAGTTGAAAAACTTTCCTAACTGTGGTATCAAAGTCTGGTTCGAGAAAGAGACAAACTCACTTGTATCAGAAGTATTTCCACAGACGCTGAGTTGAGTGTCTTGTTGAAAAGTGTGAGCGGCGATACAAGTGTATGTAAAAGTAGAAAAGAGCTGTCGTTTAAAGGGGGCATTGCGGAAGCATTGTAGATAGACTCACATTTGAGGTTGGTGTTAAGTATAACAAGTGTGAGTAGTATGTGTAATAGTCTCACATTAGTTAGAAATGTGGAGACTTGAGCATTTATAAGTGGGAGAACTCATACTTCTATGACCTTAAGGTTTTGGGTGAATATGTGATGTGTCTCTCACAAAGGTGTTGATCTAGAAAAAGAAGTCCTACAATGTTCAATGCTCCGTAGTTGAAAAACTCCCCTAACAATGAAGTCTGAAAAATAAGAAATTATCTCTTTTTATCTATAATCGTCTATATAGTTGTTCATTTCCATTATTCATTTATGTAATCGTTTTATTTTTTTGTTATTTACTTAGTTGACATTTTTTCATATGTGGATATTAAAACTCTGTCTATTGTAAGTTGGGATGCACCATTTTTCCTCGGCACCTCTTGTTAGAGTTGTCAAAATGAGCTAATCGACCCTAAACTGTCGGCCCTAGTGAACTTGGGCTTTTATGGTTGAGCCAAAAAAGCTCATTTTTAATATGGGCTCGAAAATTACTATTCGAGCCCGGCCTAGATGGGTTTCGAGCTACCCGACCCTAAACGGTATTTTTTAATAAAAAATAAAAATAAAAATATCATAATATTTATTATAAATAAAATTAAAATTATATTATTTTAAACATAATACATTATTAAGTACTATATTATCTTTTATAAATATTATAATGTGTTTTTAAATATAATACATGTCTAAATTGTATAAAATAATACTCGAATATTTAACATAAGAGAAACTAATAGAATACAAGAAAAGAGTATTGATTTTATTAATGTATAATATTAAAAGAGAAAGATTGAATAGAATAGAGATAAAATTTAGTGAGGTGAGAAAAACCAATGTGTTATTTTGGAGTAAGACAATATAAGTATCAATCTAATTTTTAAAATTTATAGCGATGTGGGGCTAATGGGCTACACGCAGCTCATATGGGCGCCCTAATGGGTAGCGGGCTTTTTAGGGATGGGCTAAAAAAAACTTGAAAAATATGGGCTATAATTTTAAGGCTCAAGTCCTATGATTTTTCGGGTATGTTGGATCAGCCCATATGGGCTAGCCCATTTTGACAGCTCTACCTTCTAGAGAGCGAGGATTTTTAATGTGGCATCTCATCCTTATTTATCTATATTTATTCATTACGTTTTTGCACAAGATCAAGTTTCACGAGAAACCTCTCGACGAAGACAATTATATATGTTGGATCTCCTAAGAGAGGATCCTTGTAACACCGAGATATTTATATTTTAATATTTGTTAAATTATTTGTGATTATCGGTGAATTTTGGTGAATTATTATGCATGGTGTGTTCTTGTTGTGTGTTGTGGGGTGATGATGAGTTGAAGGAATAATATGATTATTTAGAAATTAAATAATTAATTAGAATTATTTTAGAGTTAATGATAATAGAATAATATAGATTATGTTATTTAGACTATTATTATTAATTAAAATAAAATGAAGGGAAACATCGAGGGAGAGGTGGTTATTATAGAAGTATTAGTGAGGGTAAGTTGGGAAAGGCATATTAAGGGTCATAAGGGAAAGTTTGATAAAAGGAAAAATAGAAGTGCAGAAGTTCATTCTGAACGATCGTGTTTTCAAGAAACGACACAGAGGAAAAAGGTAGAAGGGGTTAGGGCTCTAAGAGATTGTTGTAGAACACAAGTAAAAAGACCGGAACTAAGAATCTAAGGTATGAGGAGTATTATTTTTCATTATAATTGATATAGGGTTGAGATGTATGTAGGTAATTTTGGGTTTTTTAAGAGAATGTAGTAATATGATGGTAATGAGATGATTCATGACGAAATAACTGATAGAATGACATTGTAGTACTATTAAATGATGTATATGATGTCAATTATGAAGTATTGTTGTTGTATTGTGATATCTTGTGAATTATGTATGTTTTTGGATTGAACGATCTTGGCATTGCAAAAGTTGAGGTCTTGACTGTGCAGAAAACGCAACTGTAGAGTTACTGTTTTCGCACTTTCGTCGGGCGAGTCATATGTTTCGTCGGATGAAGCTACTTCGCTCAGGAAGCGCCAGGCGAAAGGAGAAGTGAAGGAAGGATGAAAAAGAGGTGCTCATAGAATTTTGTATGGGGAAGGCGTTTCGCCCCTACTTCGTCGGGCGAGCAGGAGTTGACATTTTTTTATTTTACTTTTCTTCTGTCTTTCTTTTCTTTCTTTTGTTGCTGCGTTGTCTCACATGAAGTGAAATGATTAATATGATGTATTTCTAATAATAATGTTATGGTGGAGTGTGACGGATAATGAGGGATATACTATGACTATTACATGAATGGTGATGCAAATTTGACTAGTCGTGGTCGTGTTTATTATGACGTGTTGCATCATGCATTCATAGCATATGTTAGGACTTTAGTCCAATGACGATGTTATGACTTCGGTCCAATGACGATGTTAAGACTCCGGTCCAGTTGTGGTCTCAATCCTATTATGTGTATTGAGTGTGTTTTATGATATGCTCCAGCTCCGAGTGGGAATCGATCATTTGGTGGGGATCTTTGGAGGAATATGACCATGTGTTCATCAAAGTGTTGGTACCACATGCATGAGTCATTTTGTTGCATTACATACTAAGTGACATTGCATAAATATGAGTTAATAAATGTTTTGATGATGTTGTGACATAAGTGATGTTTTGACGATTATGATTTGTTGATAGCGTGATGACGTTGTGAATGACATAATAAAGTGACAGTGTGAGTATGTGTGATGGATATATGAAGTATGGATAATTGTTATTGTAACTAATATATATATTTCTTATACCTTTTGTAATGATTTGTGATTACTCGTCCTGCCTGTTTGAATGTTACCTCTACACGGGTAACGTGCAGGTGATCAAGGTTAGCTCGTTGGCGCGTGAAGATTTAGATTTGGAGTTAATTTATCTTATTTACATGAATTAAGAAGGTTTTGCTCTGATATGTAACATTGGGGTTTGGGGACGTTTAGTTTTCTGAAGTCGTTGTTGATTTAAGAACATGTTTTTAAGAGTTTGTTACACGATGATTTGTTTTATGTTGATTTGTGATTATGATCAAAGGCCTTGAAGTCCTTTGATGAAAATCATGAAGTCATGTTGATACTAAGATTCCGCTGCGAAGTTTCAATTATATGTGGAGTTATTAAGATGAATTTTATAATTATTTAAAACCCGTGTTACAGAGTAAGATGTTTGATAAGAATGTTTTTATGAAGCCTGTGACACCCTTGTCGGTGATTTACTCTAATTTAATTATTTATTTATGCGCTAAATTATTCGTTGGATTTTGAAGGGTGTTACATTTAGTTGTATCAGAGCAGGTCGGTCTGTCCGACTAGGTTTTTATATGATGTCAGTCCCCTGTTAGTCGACGAGTGTGTGTACACTGTCGATAGTTTGCTTCTT